CTACCGACCACAGACTTGTTGTTGCAACACTAAGGCTCCCCTCAGATCTGACGCCATCCGAGATCTTCACCAGCAGGTGTTCCAATCTCGAGAGGTCAAAGTGAGGAGGTGGCTCCGGAGTATGCAATGGCATTCCTCCAAATCGGTTTGAAGTGCTCTCGGTACTCTACAGGACCCTGATGACTGTGGGATCCCTTTTCCGGCGAGGAACTCTGTCACTGCCGAGGAGTGCCTTGTGTCCGACCTCGGCGAATGGAGGTGTGTTTGTCTCAGACGAGACACTTAACACATAGAGATTAGTCGTGCTGCAAGACTGGATGGAACCATTCTTGCACAGGGACTGTCTCGCTCTGCACGGGCCCTCTTTGAGAGGGGAACAAGAGAGGTACGTTAGGCATCGTGTAAAGTTGGAAGGTCATGTGCCCAAAATGACCTTCGACCTGCTTTCCGAGCCCTGAGGGACTCCGATCAGTCCATCTCTCAATCGGGACTGGGTGAGTATAGGCCGCTGGGCTAGTACTTTGACAACTGTATAGGGTAGATCCCCCGTCTTCACAAACTCCCGTTGGCTAGGCACACAGCTCACTTAGTGGCTGATCCCACCATCAGGGAGCACGTACCTTCCATCGAAGAGTGAGAAGGCAGTGTTTTTAAGCTGAAAAGTGGAAAGGCTGCTGTGTCTGTGGGATTTCTGCGAGTTGTTGAAGGCGGGTGGAGCAGCCATGATCTGTGTTTGCATGCCAGTCCTGTCTGCCGTTTTGGGGACGTACCATTCCCCTCTACGGAAAAGGGGCTTGGTCATCCCTATCTGGAAAGGAAAGGGACCAAAAGGACTGTGGCAACTACAGAGGTATGACATTGCCTGCATGCGTTACCAGGCAAGGTCCTCCCCCCTCCCCGCTCATCTGCTTCCTGGCACGAGTGCGCGACCACCTATTCGAGGCACAGGACCTTGAGACAGTCCTGGTTTACCCCAAATGCAGATCAACTAATATACCGTGTCTTGCACGTCGTGTCCTTGTGGAACGCCGACTGAGTTTCACAAGGTATGCTTGCAGCTTTGTTGATCTCAAGAAGCTTTCGACTCAGTTGCAGGTGCCCCCGGGAGAGGTCTCTGCGCCTACTGGTTCCCCGTGGTCCCCCCTGTAATTTCTTGGTTTGCTGTCTGGCCTGTATACAGATACTGAGAGTGCTGTCAAGTGTGGGGCGGCATCTTCTGCCTTCTCCGGTGTCTGCCGGGGTGAGACAGGGATGTGTCCCCTGGCCCCAACCTTTTTCAACACTTGTATGGACTGGATAGCTTGGGGTCCGTACCGTGAACCGTAGTGCACTGTGGGGCATCAATTGGGTAATTTCAATGTCACAGACCTTGACTTTGCCGATGATGCAGTGTTCTAGCGGAGGACATTAGAGGTCCGAAAGTAGCCTCTCGAGGCGCTGCATGAGGATGCCAGCCGATTGGGACTCGCGTTCAACTGACCAAGACCAAGTTCAGGATCTTTGGGGACTTTTTGGATGTCCGATGCGCAGTCTGTGCTGCCTGTGGCGAGAACCTTGAGGTCTGGAATAGCTTCACCTTATCTTGGTAGTGTAGTGCATAGCAGACGGAGGTTTCCGACCGGGAAGTCACTCGACGACTCGGACCGGGCCTACGCGTTTATGGACTCAATCAATAGGCGTATTTGTCGCTGTCGGTATTTGACTAGGAGAACTAATCATAGGCTCTTCAGAGCACTGGTGATTCCCGGTCTTGCTCTAACGGGTGTGAGACCTGACACTGAACAGTGCTCTGAAAGCCCGTCCTTAACTCTTCGTACTAAATGTCTTCGCGAATCATGGGGTAGACCTGGAGGGACCCTGTGTCCAATCAGAGGATACTCCATGAGACTGATTCAAGACCTATTACCAGTCTGATACGAGAAGCGCCACTTCAGCTCTATGGACATGTGGCTCGTTTCCCTGAGGAGATTCCGGCTCATAGGCTCATCTCCGAGAGTGTTGCCAGGCTGGAGAAGCCAGAGAAGGCCACGGAACTCATGGCTGAAGGCAAGATCGATCAGATATGCCATATGTACGGGAGTGGGAAGTAATGCTGCGATGGAGGCCTCGCTCGGAGGGACCCCAGAGATTGAGGCAAAGGTTGGTCGCGGCAAAGCGCAGCCATGCGGTATCCCCCTTATTGATGATGATGATATGCATGTCTGTATGTATGTATATATGTTACCACACACCCAACCACCACACACACACACACATATATTACATATATGATATATGTATCATATATATATATATAATATATATATATATATATGTATATATATATATAGATATGTATGTCATAAAGTTTATATGTACACACAAACCACACACACACACACACACACACACCACACACATATATATATATTATATATATATATATAATATATAGATATAATATATATATATATTATGTATGTAACATTACATATCGTATCACACACATACACACACACCCCACACACACACACACACACACACACACATATATTATATATATATATATTATATATTATATTATATATATATATATATATGCCATTATGTATGTATGTATATATGTACAACACACACACACACCCCACACACACAACATATATAATATATATATTATATATATATATATATATATATATCTATATATATATATATATATATAGATTTATATGTGTTGTGTGTGTGTGTGGTGTGTGTGTGTAATCACAAAAGCAAGAATTTGGCTATTCGTCTTCTCTCCATTTTTACTCAAGTGTCAGACATATTACTCACACGTTAGATGAATTTCAATTTTGTTTATTTCATCTTTTCTCTCAAGGAATTATAGAATATGAAATTTTAACACTGTGGATTAATAAAAAGTAATAATATCTAATAAACAAACATTATATAGTAAAAGTAAGAATGGTGATAATAATCAAGATAGCAGATAGACAGATAACGAACTTATTGTTATACATTAATGAAATAATGAAATGAAACGGAAATCATGATAGTATTGTAAAAAATATATATATATGATTTAACTATGAGCTATTCATTGATGGGCAGATTATTAACTAACCCCCCCCCCACCCCAAGAAAAAAAATACGTGTGTATAGATAAGAATGAAAGACGAGCGTATGAATTATTTGCTGTTATCTTTATATCACTTTTGTCATCATCTTTATTGTTATTGTTATCTTTCTATGAGTATCTTCGGTTTTTTATCGGTTGTTTTGTCTGTTTTCTTCTTTCGCTTGATTTGAAGGTTCCTGTCAATAAGTTTAAATTGATTGATGTTCACATTAAACTTACGGTTCAATTATTAAGGATATATCGTATGAAATTATAAGTCTTGGATTAATTTTTATTCATTCACATCTTCGGTCAATGAATTACACATTAAGAAAACAAGACTCAAATACAATCTTTTTTTTTTCTCTCTTTTTCTTTCTTTCCTTTCTTTTTCTTTCTTTCTTTTTCTCTTTCTTTCTATATCCAACTTTAATCATATTTTTTTTTTCTCTTTTTCTTTCGCTTTCTCTTTATTTTATTCATTTATTTTATATTTTCTTCCCCAGGTGTTCGTAGTTGAGGCCGGTTGATCGTCCGGTAAGGTGTCAAGTGTCAGAGAGAGGGGGGGGGGAGGTAAATCAGAGTGGGGGTGTCATGGGTAAATAGGGGGAGGAGGAAGGATGGGGAGGGGGTTTGCTGTGTAGAGGGGGATGATAGTGGAGGGGGAAGGTGTCCCATGGGTAAGGGTGGGAGGGAGGAAGGGGAGGGGGAAGGTGGTTCCATGGTAAGGGTCGGGGGGAGGAGGAGGGGGAGGGTGATGTGTCATGGTTAGGGGAAGGAGGGGAGGGGAGGGGGAGGTCCTCATGCAAGGGAGAGGGGGCAGGGGAGGGGGAAGGTGTGTCAATGGTTGAAGGGGGGAAGGAGGGAGGGGGAGGGGGAAGGTGTCATGTGTAAGGGAGGAGGGGGAGGGGGAAGGGGGAAGTCTCATGTCAAGAGGAGGAGGGGGAGGGGGAGAGGGGTGGGGGGGGGGGAAGGTGGTCATGGGTAGGGGGGGAGGAGGAGGGGGAGGGGAAGTTGTCATGGTTAAGGGGAGGAGGGGGAGGGTGAGGGGGAAGGTCTCATGGGCACGGGGAGGTAGGGGGAGGGGGAGGGTGAAGGTGTCATGGGTAAGGGGGGAGGAGGAAGGGAGGGGGTGCAGGTGTCATGGTAAGGGAGGAGGTAATGGGAAGAGGATAGAAGGACAGGATGAGGTGTCCTAGGTAAGGGGAGGGGGTAAGTGGGAAGGGGGGGTGTCATGGGTAAGCGGGGGGAGGGGGGGAGGGGGGGAGGGATCCCGAAAGAATAGAAATGGTTGTAATGATACTTAATGGGACCAGAAATCACGTAAAACAAAAATAATGAAATGTTAACAGATCTATTATCAATGGGTGTTATTACGATCTAATCTTAGGCTCACTATTATAGTTTTTTTTTCTCCTTGTTATTGTGACATATGATGACACTAAAAACACAACAACTGATTCAATGAAAAAAATAAACAATGACAGAGATTGATGACGTTCATCCAGATATTTTAACAAATGCAAAAATGGCAGGTGATTATAAATGACGGTTTATAAATACATACAGTTTTTAAAGTAATGCATCCAGACTAAGTTAAATTTTCGCAAATGGTTCACAATTAGTCAGATTGTGGCATGAAGATTCATGTGATGGTAAGTTTACTATCATTTTTAACTTGGTTTTGTTCTGCACCACGGAATACGAGACATTCTCGCCCGAACGAAGCCATCGGCATGTATCCGAACGTACCTTACTTTACGCGGATTCTCAGTCTATATTAACAATATTAAAGAAAATGTATATAATTTTTTTCTTAAGTATCAGCCTTCACTATTTAGCTTAGTGTATTATTACTCAGTAAGCAAATTAAGTTTATGGAGTTATTAAGTTATATTCGCTG